TTTATGTTTTACATTTGATAATATGTATTTAAATACATCTATGTATTTAAATACATCTATGTATTATGATTTTTATTTTATGACTGAAGTTTTTGTCTTTCACTCGTAAATGTATTTTTAAGCTATTTCTGTTTATTGTATAACTTTCTGTTTTTATAATTGAAAGACGAGTCGTATAAGTGAGATTTTTTTGTGTAAATATATTTTTGTTCACAATATCTTTAGTTTACAGATTGCATTTTTTGTTGAAATTGTTTAATAAAAATGTAAGAAATTTAATTTGAAAAATTTTTTAGACTTCAACTAAAAAATAACTTATTGATTAGCACTAAAATGTTGAAAACAAATAAACATATTTATTTTTATTGAGAGTTATATTGTTTTAAGTGAAATTCTAAATTATATAATTTTTCGAATATTTTTTTGGTGAATTTCGTTTTCATTTTTACGAAATGATACAAAGTTCAAGGTAGGTGATTGTAGAGTGATATGCTTCACGTTACGTGACTTTGGTACTTAACGCTTATCAATTATTTAACACATAGAAAGGAATGAAAAAGCTTTTTTGCTTTTTCTTATTACTTGAATGCTCAGAATAGAATGATAGATGGCGGAATGTGCTGATGGAGATAAGTGCATATATGTTAATATATTAGTGCAGGAAAGGAAAAGCAACTTGATTGGACTGTTTTTTTCGATCAATGAATGATCGATCCGATTTTGACAGTTATGTTTCTCTCTTCCTGTCAAAGTCTCTCTATTGCAAATAACATTTTCTTTTATTTTACATTTGTTTCGAATTTAGGTTTTGATAACGTGATGTTATTTATCATGTGGAAGAAAAATTTTACCTAAATGTTTTAGAGTTATTTTTCATTTCAATTGAGATGTATTTTTTATTATTTTTTAAAGTTATTCTTTAAAAATGTTGCATTATTTCGATTTGAAATATGTGGATGTTAAATTTTTTCTCGAATTTCTTTATCTGAATGATAGTTTTGACTTTGCTGAACAATTATTTTCGTAAGTAAATAATGTGAATTAATGTAAATTGAATGTTTGTATGGATATAAATTATCTCTAGCATATTTTTGTTGATAGAATCTGTTATGAAGGTTTTTTTAGATTGTTTCTTTGAATTAGTTTTCAGATTTATTATATTCATCTCTTTCGTTTTTTTTTATGAAAATTGTTCAATTGATTTATCGTTTGTTTTTTATGGTTTTACATATTTTATTATATGACGTAGATATTTGTGTTTTGTCTTGAGTATTAGTTTGTTTTCGATATTTTTATTCTTGCTTTTTGACAAGTTGTTATTCCTCATATTGTATTAATAGTTTTGGGTATATGATTTTGTTTGGTATTATTGAGTTTTTTTTCCATGTTGTTTGATGTATAGTATTTTTGTATTATTTTCGAATATTATTTTTAATTCTACTGAATACAAACTAGTTATTTGACCAAATGTACATTTAAGAAAAATGTCTTAAAATGAATTTTAGAAGGATCAACTGTGCGGTTAGGAAAGTAAAAGACGAGGCTTTGGGTAAAATATAATGATGTTGTTAAGTGTTTATTGTTTCGTAATAATAACTAGAAAGAAATTGGAACGACTACTGTATTGGGAAGGCAGTTCGTAGAGTTACATTATTGTGGCCTTAGATTGATACATCAGACATAGTCTTATAGTCTTATGATGTGGGAATTCTGTACGGGAAAGTTTGAAAATATATGAAATTTGTTGATGAATGGTTTATGGAAAGAAATCAGATAAGCGAAGAAAGCAGATAATAATGCAATCGAATGATTTTAATAGAGTTTTTCGATATGAATTTTGCTTAATTATCAATGGAACACTATATAAAAGAAATCAGTGAATGTCTTTTGATGGGTTCCGCTTCATTGAATTTCGATATAATCTATTGCGAATATATTATATCTATCCATACGTTACTATATTAATCAATTCTTTCTTGTGGTAGATCTTTGAATAGAAAGAAGTAGATAAAAAGTTTTGATAATCTACTTATAACAATGAAAGTGATTAGGAGAACAATTTCTTTTTCAATTTGGATACCGCTTTTAGATGGATAAGATATAATCTAATTCTTTCTAGGATAGAAAATATCTAAGTAATGATATTGATAGATTGACGAAAGATGAAAAATATTATGATATCTGATGAATATCATAAAAAATTAAATAGTATAATATATGATGTCATCTGTTGTATGATTGGTCTATTTGAATACTTTTTTTTCTATAACGGATAGGTACATATATATATACACATGTCTTAGTGTATCTTCATTCAAAAAGCTACAAATTGTTCAAAACAATAATCACTACAACGTTTCTGCATCAAATCTTTCAAGCAAATATTATCTTTTCTCTAGTTCCAACATTTTTCTATATTATTCAAAATGACTGAATCAAACGTAAATAATACACGTAAGGATATTTGGTCACTAATTTCTTTAGATGACTTGGTCACCGCTATTATCTCTCTTGGTGAGCGTATGAATCTACTTAACGATGATTCATGGCGCTTGAATAAATCAGGTAAGTCTTCTAGTTCATGTTGGAGCGAAGTTATTAGGAAATTGAAACTCGATGATGATGAAAAAACTCGTCACTCATTGTACAACATATGGCATTTAAAACGCCATCGTATTCGTGAACTTGTTGACGAAAAGAAGAAAAAAAAAATGATGGAAATGAAAGAAGAAGATAGCAATGATAGGAACGAAGCAGAAAATTGTTCCATCGGTAAGAAAATTATTGCAACATTGCCATCCGAACCATCATTACCTCTAACTGAACCACCAAGTACACGTGCTTATCAAAAAGCTGTTGCAAGCGGCACTATTTATCAACGTCATTGTATTAGAACAGAATTTATTTCTCTTACTCGTAATGAATGGAAAAGTGCATATAGCTGTACTCATAAAAAAACGAAATCAGGCTGGACCAGTATTTTTGATGAGAAGTTGAAGTTTATCGGTCATACATGCTCATTATGTTTTCATTCTCCTAATATTCCACGCGGCAAAAGAAAACGTAACTGTTCTGACTTTTGGTTCAGTGCAGCCTGTACAGGTGATATATGTAAGAGAAAATACATAGTAAGTCATAGAAGAGATATTGATAATGACTTAATGGCGTTATTTCGTGTGGACGTCTATGGCGAAGAAAATCATAGTACAGACAATGTAATGCGACCACGGAAGATGGATGCCAAAGAACGTGATGTTATTGGTAAGATGTTTTGACATGAAAATTCAGGACTTAAAATTAATATTGTTGATATACATTTTAGGGAAACGTGCAAATGAGATAGGTCCCGCAGCAACATTTCGCGAGCTCGTGGAGGTGGCCGATGAAAAATTGCTCGCAGCAGGTAATTTTTCAGAATGTCCGACCATTGAAGCAGTGAAGAAATGTGGAGCGGATTATCGAAAAAAAATGCGCTTTGATGAAGATGTGTTCAGAGAATGTCGAATTCTAAGTTGCTTTTATCGCAGCGAAGATGTTACATCTGAACAAATTTTAGGTAAGCCAAGCTTATCAGAAAAAAAGATTATGCAAACGGTTCGATACTTGCTTTTTATAGGATACATTCACAATGCCGGCGAAATACCATTTCGATCACATTTGTTCACCGAATCACAAATTCGGCGATACATAAGGTATATTGAGAACGAAAAATATTCTTTTATTCATATAGATGCAACTGGTGGAGTATTAAAACCAATGAAAGAGCAAAATCAATCATTGCTTTATACGATAATGTTCAAGGATGGCATTGATGCGAATGATAATGTTCCCCTAGCACACGCTATATTAACAGATAATACAGTCCCGGGTATCGGCTACTTTCTTGGCAATGTGATTCATAGTGTCAATCAAGTGGCAACAAAGAAAAAATTACGTCCACCTTCATTTATCGTTATCGACTTTTCTGCTGCTCTTATGAATGCTGCACTTCAACAATTCAATATTGAAAGTGTTAACAAACATCTGAAACGATGTTGGAACGTTATACAAGGCAAATATAATGCTGAAAAAATTCGTTCATTATCTTTTATTCATTTGTGTTGTTGTCATGTTATACATGCCGTTGCAAGAAGTCTGAATGCTGAAAAAATTGATAAGAAAACACGCGAAGTTGTATTATATATATTCGCATATATGTTATGTTGTAATGATATCAATCAATTATATGACACATTGGGATTAGTGCTTAATATATTCGGTGATCCAAACGAACAGAACGCAAAGGAGAAAATTGATCGAATATGTTCTCTTAAATTTAACGTGGATGAAGAAAGTGAGTCAATTTTAAAGGATTTTGATAATATTTTTAAAACAGCTGAAAAGAAAGAAGAAGAATTAAAGCTTGTCGATGAATATTTTGAAACTGATGAAGCTATCATTCATCAGTCACCATTCAATAAAGAAGCTATCCAACGTTATCCATTGCTGAATGAGATAGTAATTAAAAAAAAGATAAAAAGCAGCAATAAAAATACATTATTTTCCGCATCAATAATTCGTATATTCTATCGATGGTGGGCATATTTACCACTATGGACAGGTTTGTTATTCAATTTCGAAGAACGATATGCCAATGACATGCAACAAAATACATCGATAACATACAGTCCTATCCGATACTCCAATGCAGTTATTGAAAGTTATTTTCGAACATTCAAAAAAAGTATCTGTCAAGGGAAGAGAGGTAAACCACCTCAAGAGGTTATCATGGCATTACATAGAAGCGTAAAAGTGCAGTCAAAGGCTGACCAATTTGGACTAACACAAAGTTCAAAGGGGAGAAAAAGAAAGAAAAAAAATGTAGGCATACGAGAGAAATATAAGAGGAAAATATACGAAAAAATACGTCGGGGTAAATACACATATATGATTGACAAATATGCATCAAAGCGTGCACGACAAAAAGAGGATCAATCTCAACAAGGTGCCGTGACGAAAAAATACAGGTAAACTCTTTTGAATTCACATCTATTAGACTTTATCTTTGTGTTTAGTGAATCTGAAAATACTACAACTGTTTCTTCATCTGGCAAATCGGAATCATCTTCTAAAGTTCCAAGCGAGAAAATCTCAAATGAGTAAGACAAACATCATTCTATTACCAAACAATAATTTTTTTTTATTCAGTGAATCATCTCGTTCTAGCAAAAGAGATTCATTATCATCGTTTGAAGCAGCTACCAAGGTAAGTCATGAATATTCTAGTGATATCTCAAACAATTTAGATGTGCCGGCGAACAATGATCATGAAAAAAATGAAAGTTTAATTAAAACCAGTTTGAAGACAAGTTCATCATCTATAACAACAAACACTTCGATTACGATTAACGAAGGTGTGTAATAATATGAGCTAATCTTTGTATAAAAATAGAATCGTCATATTTATAGAACACCATGTGACAACTAATCAATTATCAAAAGATCTGTCTATCAAAATTCAATCTCGTCCAGAAACAACAATCAATGGCCTCACAATGAAATGGCCCCAATTTAAGGTGAAAAATGTTGTATTTAAAGGTAATAAAAAAAATGAAAAAAGGAATACATCATGCACAAAGAAATTTTTGCGTTTTCTTTTTTTTTTTATCAAGGTCGCACATATTCTTTGGAAAACACATGTACCATTGATTCGGCTCTGTTTGCTATCTATTTCATATATATGACAGATGTGACTATCTCCTCTGAGTTCAAAGAAGCGCCAGAATCGTCACCTTATGCAACACTAGTAGAAACTTTCGATATCGTAGAAAAAGAAGGATGGGACGCTGCACGTATTTACTGGCTACTTCAATTCGAAATTTTGAAAGTGACTGATCAAAAACCCAAAGACCTATTCGGTTCTGTTGATGAGGTCGTATTTTCCTTTCTTAAAAATCAGCAACGACACTCAAATGAAATCCTATGTTCACGGTCTGATTGTCCCAAAAAAAAACGCAAGTGTACATCAACTGAATTGGATATTTTGTAAGCATTAAGTTTTCAATCAAATCTCTTTCATAATCAATGTTTTTCTAGTTCAACCGATGAGCAAATTGACAAATTTGAGATTGAAAGTGAGGGTGTGTGTCCAGTAATGGTAAAACGCCGAGAAGATATGTGTGAAGCTGAAGCACTTCAAAAGAAGTATAGAGATGGTCGTGTACCACTTTTCAATTGTGAAACAAACACGAATGAATACGAGTATGTTGACTCTCTTCTCTTGAAAGTGTTAACTGTTTTCTTCTGTCAAGACGTGGCTGGGTATGTAATGCTAGAAATATTCAAACATCAGCTACATTTGATTATGGCTTTCCTCCCATAATCATTGTGAGTATTAAACCATTTTCAAAAAGAATTAATGAAGGCTATCAACCGAATCCAGCACGACTTCGTGATCTTAAAGACACCATTAGAATTAGTTCTATTAAGTATGTATTGAAAATATTTTTCATTTTTCATATATCTTTTAGTGAATGACATCTAGTAAGCATTTTAAAACTGTTATCTTCTTATATACACTTGAATTCATAACACATACTAACGCTCTTGATTGCTATTTTTTTCGTTTTTCTAATTGTTTTCTGTCTGTAATAGATACAAGCTGCGCGCCGTTATCAATCATCGAGATGTGCACTTCACTGCCACTTTAATTGGACCCAACAAAGATTTGTACATATACGACGATCAACAAGGTATTCGACCCACTCGTTATTCAACAGACCCTATTGAAATAGCTATTTACACTCAAATATATGATTGTTAGTTTTTTTTGTATTTTTTCCATGATTTTGTAAAAATGTTCAATATTTTTTTTTGTAAAAATAATTCAACATGTATATGTATATATAAATAATTAAGAGACGTAAAAGATAGTTGTGAAAATGACCCCTCACTATGTTCACATACATTTGTCGTTTTTTTTGGACTAATCACTTCTCGCTTGATAAAGCACGATAGGAAAGGAAGAAAGTAGGAAAACGAAAGAGAAATAACTTCCTGTATAAAATGAACAGAACGGAAAAAAAGAACGAAAACGAAAGAGAAATAACTTCCTGTATAAAATGAACAGAACGGAAAAAAGAACGAAAACGAAAGAGAAATAACTCAGTGTATTGAACGAGCAGAACGAAAAAAAGAGTTGATTGATGAACATGAAAGATGGAAAAAGCGAACAACGAATCTTGGTATCCTCTTTGGACATTCTTTGAACTGTTTGATGGTACTAACAAAGTAGAATAACACTGAAAGAACAATTATTGTAAATTAATTACTGAATTGATTAACAATCATGTATCTGTATACCTATAAATATATAACGAAATATGGAATAGTATCATTCATTTCTCACTATATCCAAAATGCTCGCTCTTATCATCTTTTTTTCTCTTCTTGCTTGTATATATCCTGCTTCAGTAAGTAACTCTTGTGAGTCACGAACCATTATCTTATTGATGTTTTCATCTAGGGGTATGGTAGTTTGGACGACATCATCAAAAAGGAATATCATATGAAAACTACTACCACTACCACCACCACCACCACCACCACCACCACCACCATCACCGTCACCGTCACCACTACCACCACCACCAATGATTTGAAACAAATAAAAAAAATTGCTAAAAACATCAACTTTACCACAGAAAAAATAAAAATTCTTCTGCCTCCATTACTTATTTTAATTGCTACCGTTTTGTCCATCATAATTAATTTTTTAAAAAAGTGTTACCTAAATAATGGTAATTGCAAAGTGAGAATCAAAAGATATTAATTATTCATTCAATCATATATTTTTTTTTCAGGCTGCTTGGTTTTGTTGTAAATCATTTGATGAATATAGAAGACGTCGCCAAGCAGTTCAAGGTAAATGATTGATATATTCTTTTTAATATTATGATATTTTTTTTTATTCTAGCAAGAGAAATATCTCTTAATCAACTAACAGAACAATCAACCCCCACCATCTATGCCATCGCTTAAGTTTTTTTTTCTTTCCTTTCCTTCCTATTAATTGTATATTTTTCTTTCCTTTCCTTCTTATTAATTGTATATTTTTCTTTCCTTTGTTTTACATTGATTGTACATTTTCTCTTCTTGTTCTTATTTATTTGTATGCCTTTTTTTTTATAATAAATCATTTCAAATGAATTGTTATCTTTTTACTAAAAAGGATTGAATTAAGCTACAATGTCAAGCACACAAGCAATATAAACATTCTAAGGAGATAAATATATATGCTGATAACTAGTAATACGCATGAATAATTTTCTAATAGAAAGGCTTAATCATAACCAACGGCTTGATGAATATCATTGATGGTATCTTTTACATATATTCTATAAACAGTTGCGATGAAATAAAAGATATATCTTTTTTTCATAAAGATAAACTTCACGCTTTTAATGAAATCAAAAGATAAATATTGATTGGATATTATTATCACAAACATTTTTTTTCGTTCTGTTTACACCAATCACTTTATGACTTTTCATCTGAATATCTCTCTCTTAGATATATATCGCTCACATATAAGTGATAGGTAAAAAAAAAATAAAATCACTACTATCTTGCAATATTTTCGAAATTGTTTTCTATACATTTTTGTCGTACATATTTACATTAAAATATATCATACCAGGATGGTTAATGTTACAAAATTATGTATTTTATATTATATTATTAATTCAATTGGGACTGTTCTAGTTATGTCGTTGAGAGACTGGTCGAAGAATGATGTTATAGTTGACATAAATAAAGGATACACTCTTCAACGATTAGGTGTATATTCACCGAATCTTGTGGAGGAAGTCATACATACATTCATACCTCTATCTAAATTTTGTATAGCATCACCGCAAATAGAAGTGTGTCAATATGCATCAGCACCGATAAATACAAACATTGCACTGCTCACTACTATGATGGCACCTCGTAACATGGCTCATACATTATCATCACATGACAGTGACAGTGTATCTAAGCTCATAGAAAAAGACATCATTCGAGTTCTTGATGAGTACCATCCAGAGAACATTATTAGAAATACCAAGTCAACTGTCCATTTTGTTAACAATCAATTTCATTATAATAGAAATATGGCCCATATATTCACAACAACGTCTTCAACCAACACCGTTGAAAATAATCCACCTGTTACTCGCTTGCGCTCAGATTCAATTGAAAGATTTCTTAAACAGATAAGTATCAATAAATTTGGTTTAGAATTTTTATCTAATAATGATACAAAGACTTTTTTAACAGCAGCTTTTTCTACTATCGATAGCTACTATACTATTTCTAATCTCCAAGAATCACTTGATACTTTTTTTCAGTATATTGTAGGACAATCTGTTTTTGCTCTACGCCATTGCTCATTGGTTCAACAAAATTCATTACCTTCTCAGCCATGCATAGCTATTTCAACATTATTTTTGCGTGTTCAACCTGAAATTTCATCAACATTTCTTGTTTATCGTTTGGTTCCATTGCCAATCGTTTATAATAATGATATGTATGTGTATTCAGATCTGCCAAAAATAATCGGGATAGATCCCATTGATCAACAAATTATCATTTGGAAAGAAGAGATTGATATCAAACAATGTATTTTCTCACGTCTTGTTCTGTGCAAAAAAATGCCAATATCGATACCATTAACAAAATCGTCATGTCTCTCTCAACTACTAGATAATGCTCAATCATCTACAAATATGTGTCAAGTTACGCGATCGAAAAACATTGAACAAGACTTTATGCAGATTGATGATGGACTTTGGTTTTTTTTTAACATTCATCATGATGAACAATGTCAAATCTATTCCACTTCTGATCATAGAACAGAAGTAATTTCAATTAATGAACCTGCTATTGTAAGTATGCCATGTAACAAACCAATTACATGCATGAATTTAAAAATACCTACTACGTCTTGTACACCACGTCGCACATTAGTAACATCTCATCTTCCAACATATTCTCACTCACAAGCTCGGATCTTCCTTCCAATAAAAGATATGACACAAACAATCATTTCTTCATACCAATCTCAATATAAAAAAACAATAAATGAATTAATGACTGCTTTATCTTCAAAAAATCCAAGTATTAAACAGATCTTCCAAAATATTTATACATATATGGCATCCACTGTTATTATTATCCTGGTTGCCTTGTTTCTCTTCATCGTGAAATTCACCAGGAAGAAATTACAAAAACAGATAGACTATATTGAATCAAATGTAGAGACAATACTTAGATTATAATTTTTTCTCTAAATTTTTTCATTATTGTCAAGCTTAAAATATAATTAAATGTTTCGTCTTCTCACACATCATCAATACTAAACATATCTATTTTTTTTGAAACAACAGCTATATCCTCAAATTCGAGCAAATGTAATCCACAACAAGCATCATCAATCATATGTATAGACGATAATTTTCTTCCTAAGTTTTGTTTTATTCATACGTACATGAAAATGACATCATATCTCTCAGAAAGAAATTCATAACATTCATGAAAAAAACTAATCAAAGCATTAACATCAAGAAAAAACACAACAATAAAAAAAAGAAGTTAAACAAACTAAGATGAATAAAAAAACATACAACGATCAATAAAAAATAGCAAACACACTAATATAAAAAAACGAACGTAAAAATAAAACAATCCATCATAAAAAGCCAAAAAAAATAAAATTCATGACCAAACACAAATCTATAGACGCCATGAAAAGTCAGTCCACACGAAAAAATTAACAAAGTCGAATATTCACAAACTATTTTTCGAACATATAATTTCATATAAAAAACTTAATAAATGATTCAATTATTTTACATAACAAATTTATATAATCAAAAAAAAATTAAAATATAGAAATATAATAATTCTAAAAACTAAATCAAAGAAACATTCTAAGAAAAAAAAAAAATTTTCTAAACATAGATTGTATCAACAAAATATGCTAGAGACAATTTATATCGATAAAAACATTCAATTTAGATTAATATAAATTACTTACTTACAAAAATATTTGTTCACCAAAATCAATAATAACATTTAGATAAACAATATTCAGAAACAATTTAACATCCACATATTTCAAATAAAAATAATGCAATATTTTTGAAAAATACCTTTAAAAAAAAAACAAAAATAATACATCTCAATTGAAATGAAAAAAAAATCTGAAACATATAAGTGAAATTTTTCTTCCTGATGATAAATTACATCACGTTATCAAAATCTAAAATCGAAACAAACTTAAAATAAAAGAAAATGTTATTTGCAATAGAGAGACTTTGACAGGAAGCGACAAACATATAACTGTCAAAATCGGATCGATCATTCATTGATCGAAAAAAATTGTCGAATGAAATTGCTTTTCCTTTCCTGCACTAATATATTAACATATATGCATTTATCTCCATCAGCACATTCCGCCATCTATCATTCTATTCTGTGCATTCAAGTAATAAGAAGCAAAAAAGCTTTTTCATTCCTTTCTATATATTTAATGAATGATAAGCGTTACGTACTAAAGTCACGTAACGTGAAGCATATCACTCTACAAACACCTACCTTGAACTTTGTATCATTTCGTAAAAATGAAAAAGAAATTCACCAAAAAAATATTCGAAAAATTATATAATTTAGAATTTCACTTAAAACAATATAACTCTCAATAAAAATAACTATCTATATTTGTTTTCATCTTTTTAGTGCTAATCAATAAGTTATTTTTCACTTGAAGTCTAAAACTTTTTTCAAATTAAACTTATCACATTTTTATTAAACAATTTCAACAAAAAAAAATATAATGTAAAATAAAGATATTGTGAACAAAATAGACTAGCACAAAAAAATCTCACTTATCTGACTCCTTTGTCAATTATAAAAATGGAAAGTTATACAATAAACAAAAATAGTTAAACAATACAATCAGGATTAAAAGATAAAACTCCGTTTATAAAATAAAATAAAAATCATAATACATAGATGTATTTAAATACATATTATCAAATGTAAAACATAAA